ACACCACTGGTGAAGATCTCTCAACGCTAGAGAGGACTCGTATTTGATCGCTAGAGGAGGGAGTAATAAATGACAAATTTCTTCATTACCATGATGTCCCTTTTGTAAGCAGTGAATGTAATCCTTGATTTCATTATCGCGGTTACTTTCTCGGCTCCTTTCCCTACACCTTCCTTTCCCATATGGATGGCATATCACACACAGGACACGTCCCACGTCGAGGATCTCCCAGCGGGGCAGGGGGGGAGGGGAAAGGGATCGAATTCTGTCGATGGAGGGAGTGGGTCGTATTTTATCTGATAAAAAATTAATTTTTGAATGGTCATCTTTTTTCGCTATCCACATCGTTGGGAGAATGGGGAGGAGGCGGTCGTACTTGCTCACAGTTGGGAGACAGCCGCTCGACGGCAAAATTTCGGGGGAGAACTTTGAAATTTTTTGGGAATTCTGATAGAAGCGCTAGGAAGTTTGGAAAAGTTGGCAAGAGAGACAAGACAGAGCTGATAGGATGAAGAGGAAGGGGGTCGTAGCAGAGGGCGAAATGGGAGTAGGAGGGTCGTGTTTTTCCGAAATTTGCCAGCAGCTGGATGTTCTGATCACGCATCTGTTCTTTTGGGGAGCAGTAAGAATAGAGAACAAAGTTTCCTACTGGTTTGTCACCTTCACCTCAGCCTACCTTTTACTAAAATACTGCTAGCAAAATTATATTGGTGACCACATTGACCTGAATGGCCGAGAATCGAGAAGAATACGCAGCGGCAACAAAACACTCGAGGAGAAACTGGCTTCTTGAGCGGGACAGCTAAAGTACAGGGCGCAGTAGGAAAGGGTTCTTCGGCTTTTTTATAGCGAGCTGGTGAAGTAATACCAAAATCTTCTGTTTTGTAGCGATGAAGAGACCTCTTTTCAGGAATGCGAACTCTATTGCTACTCGGTGGACGAGCAGAGAAAACGCGGTATTATTTAAAATGATAGTCCTGTACTATATCTAGCATTTTACTCATTTTTCTTGTTTTGTGTAATCTATGTTTGCTAATAAAAATACAGTTACGAGGTTTTTTCGAGAGCGCAGGAAATCACCTTACGACGCTCCAGGCAACGCTGTGTACACTCGCAGTTCCGCTTGTAAGCCGTTGTCTTGCAGAGTGAAAGTGGTTGCGGTGGTCTGCAATATGCACGCGTCTCTAACTTCTTTATCTCGCCGTTCCGGGTGACAAAAGTGTTATGTTCGTGCGAATGCGGCAACTGTGCCAAATGCAGGAGGCATTTCGCGGACCACTTGGTCGCGGGTATTGTCTTTTGAAATCAAATATTGTGTTTTATAACGTCAGGTCATTGGGTCTGCACGGTATGATACTCGAAAAATATTCTGGATTACTCATGAGCACCGAGGCCTTTCTTGAGAAATAGTAGCGCCTGAATCGACAACCGCAGCATTCCGCGTCATAAAGCTGAGGCGCACAGTTGCTCAGGTGGCTCCTGATGAGTGCAAGTGACTCCAACCACATTGATGTTCGTAGCCTCTCCGTACAGCTCTCTCGACCTATTTTGTCTGGACCCTCTCAACGTATCCTACAACTTTTCGTATCTCGTTTATAAGCTGGTACATAGTTTGTCCTAGCTTGCAAGCCGCTTGTTGCTTTAACCTCATATGTAAAGACCTCATCTTCCCGACGGCTCCCCTTTTTTCAGTGGTGAGGTAATTAGAAACAATAGCGAAGATGCCTACGTGTACGAGAGCAGCAATTCAGTCACACACTCATAGTTCCTTTTGCTTCCTTGAATCCTTTTCAGAGAACCAATTTTTCTTTAATGTCTTGAATCTCTATTACAGTAAAAAGTTCTCTCTAAGAGAGCATATCTACAGGATGTTCATATGTCACGTACACCTTCCCGAAATTCATCATCTCTATATCTTTGTTGCCAAGCACTTCCGATTCGAAACAATCGGACAGCCAGACGGGCGCTCGGCGGCGACGGTCACACGAAGAACAAACCCGTTTCGCTCTTATATCGATACCATCTGCGAGTGCAAATAATACCTGAACCATACATCTCTTCTGATGTTGCGTTGTCATCGTTGCTACTTCCACCGAGTTACCTGACACAATGGACAACTATACGAGGGGCGGAAAAGAGAAAAGCGTCAATGCGTAGACATCAAGTTGCAGTTGCGCTGTCTTCGCACATTCATGCCATATATCCTCACAGTGCCGGCGTGAGAACGCAACATCGTTTAAAAACTAATCAACCTGCTCTTTTAGATTCCTAGTGGAAAACCCGATACTCGGTGACTCCGCCAAGTCACGTGTAGACTGTATAAGCTATGAGGGTGTCGGAAAATTGAGAGACTCCTTTAGTTGAAGTGTAGACAAGTGCCCTTCTCCATAGTTGGATGGTCAGTACATCAGTGTAGTGTAGTGTATTTGTCATCAGTGCATCCTAACATTAGGTGAAAAATTTAGGTACGGACAACAAGCCTCTCATCCTCTCAACCTTTTCCTACGCATCCATAAAGTTCGATTGATTTCTTCGATCAGGAATAAAGGAACCACATTCTGCTAAAGGAACCACATTCTGCTACACTTGAAACGGGAAAAACCACATTGGAAAATTTTTTCCGCAACACTGTAAAGGCAAATACGACCTCCCTCCCCGACCAGGGCACATCGTTGGTTGGGGAATCCCCAACAGGGGGGTCGTATTTGGCCGCCAGGAGAGGGGGGGGGTCGTAGTGAGTGCGGTAGCCAGTAACGAGCAGCGCAAATTGAGTCCTGTACAGCGAAACTTGCTTTGTAGAGAACTCGGATATGCAAAAAATAGTACAAAACTTTCATTCATCAAACTAATCCGAAATAACTGCAAATATTAATAAGTCGACATCATCTCGTAAGTCCGTTGGTGACTAAACAGTACAAACAAACTCTGGTTTTTGCTGACGAAGGGCGACAGACTACCATATCGTTCGTATAGACGTTTTCCAGCAGTTGGTCTCCTTTATCGGAGTCAGCAATTGGCGGAGCACGAATCTGGCAGCGTCGACAGGGACATGTTCCATCATACGGAAAACACTGTAAACAAGTGCACAGGCTCGCCATGGACCTCCCTGAACCCTATAGACACATTTGCTCGCGTGGACAGACATTACGCACAAGTTGCACCATCCCATCACTTCTGCGCGGACCTCAGTGCGCGGCGCATCCAAAGTCGGCGCTAAACGAACCATATTCTGCTCCTGCTCCACCACAGGATACGTTTTTCATGCGTTCCTGGTTATTCGAACACGCTCACTTGAAACGGTACACAGGAAACGGGTTTTCGCGCAGCTGGGAGTGTTCCCCAAGAAATCCCCATAGCGAGATCTCATGAATCCCGAGAACTTCAGAAACAGTTCAAGAGGTTTTTAGAAAGAGAAAATCTTCAAACACTCGAAACCGTTCTCAGATTTGTGAAATGTTGAGTTACAAAAAAAATATATTGATTCAAACCTGTTCAGTTGAAATCACTCCCCAACGAATCCCCATGGCAGATTTCTCTGTGATTTTTGCGACCTTCATAAACGTTTCAGTACTTTTAGGAAGTGCAAACCTTCCTCTACACGAATACGGTCTCCTCTTCCCCACAGGTCCGCTTTTGAGGAAGTTATGGTCCTTCAAAGACACCCCACTTTGCTGAAAACTCGCGTTCCACATGGCTGGTCCTGCCCAGAATCCCTCCCCCGGTACCTCGGCCTTTAATCAGCTGATTGCGGCTGTTTGCTCTCGTTCGTATTTACTCTTTCGTGTTTATCTTCTTCTCAGTTTACTCGAATACGCGTCAGAGCGCGCCCAAGCAATTTTGCTTGGACCGCTCAGAGTGCTTTTAGGAGAAGTTGGCTTAATTTCCTGTTTTTTTTTCTTTTAATTGCAATTGATTCAGGTACCAGAGTTTGTTTTGACTCGAGGGAAGGTGGGTGAAACCTAATGGCCTTTCTTTTCTATTCTCTTTTCTGAATTAGGATAGAAATGAGCAAAAAGCGAGGGGGGCCTCATTCAGGATTGTTACTTTTTCCATTTTTCGCGCTTACTTATACATAAACTTATGAAGTTTCTTCCTCCTCGGGGGGAGGGGGAGGGGAAGAAACTTCATAAGTTTAGGTATAGGGGGGGTCGTACCGAACCCCCAAAAAGGGGGGGGGTCGTACGGGCTTCACCAAAATCCCCATCGAATGCTGTGCCCTGTCCCCGACAACGACCAGATGTGACCCCCCCCCTACCCCTTTAAAGCGTCAGCGAAACAAGAGAGATCAACTATCAAAAAAATGTTTCTGTCCAAATAAAATCTGCCCCCAGCGACCAACTTACATTCTGTAGGGAAATCCTCAACGATGATGTGCTCTATGGGAAAGGAGGTTGTTTCGAAGAAGAAGAAGAATCGAGGTTGCGAGGTGTCACACATCGCCATCTCTCCTATCCCGGTGGTGTACCTTGTTCACAAAATTTGTGGGAATGCAAAGAACGACGTCTATGACCTTTGGTTGTTCTCTTTTACTGTTGCTGAAATTTTTTGCACGGGATGATTGAGCATGAATGGGAACAAGGTTGTCCTGAAGTTTCCAGGACAAGCAAGTTGTTCCACACTAATGCTCAACAGTCTTGCTGCAGTCACCGGATCTGTCACAGTGCTGTCATCTACCTTTCGGTTTTATTTTTTGCCTTTTTGATTTATTCCTCTGCACGTCATTCTCAAAAACGTATAGAGAGAGACAGGAACGATTCGAATTTATCAAAACGCCCAGGGGTCAGAGAGCAGCCTCACATTGCATGTTCACGAGTATCAAAAGGACATGCTAGAAGGTCAGTACCACATATTAAGCAAATTGCTCTCACAACACTTTCCAACACAGTACAATACGGCACTGAAAGATTTATTTTTCACAAGTCTTTTACAACTGGTCATTGATAAAACCACGCCTCACCCATTTGGGAAATACAGCATTTATCAGATTGGTTGGACAGTCGAAGTGGGAACTTGCGCAAGCGAATCGAGGCTCCACGAGCACGTTTGGATATGTACGTTGCCTCACTCTTAGAGTTCTCCAGAAGAACCAAACCTGTTCAGATTCTTGCGTTTGGCTTCTCTGATCCAACCTGCATTCATTTGTTTTCTTTGGCGCTGCTGAAATCACTTCATCAAGATGAGAGATTGTATCACAACCAGAAAAAGGTGTCCGGCCAAGATAGGACTGGAACCGTCCTACTCCAGGGAAACGGGTTTCCTTCAGCTATGACGCAATCCCAAAAATTCATGGAGAACGCATAGTTTAGCAATAGGACCTAGTTGATTCAATGAGGATGTGCTGCAGTGTGTTAAGTCAACCAGATGAGAAGTTCCCAGCAGTTGCTGCGCAGTGCCGCACTTCGATTCCTGAACAACGCCTATACCCCCATAGAGGGCTGCTAACGTAACCCGCATACACCACTAAGCCCGTAAAGCGATCCGAGATTCAGCTTGGACGTGCCAAACTGCGCCCTAATGTCACACATATTCTGTACTGTATTTCCAGTTGCCCTACGAACCATAAGGATGAAGTCGTTGCTGTCGGTCCTTCCACTTTTAGAAAATGACACGCCACATACTTCCATTCGGAATAGTGGTGACTTGCAAATCAGGGTATGACCTGTACAAATAGGTGTGAGAGCCAGCCGATGCAGGTGTCAGTCGACTACAGTGCCAGTATGAGGAGCGGTAGGTTCACAACCATTTTGCAGGCACAATACTGGAGATAGAGTTGTAGTCAAGCGTGCAAAATCCTCGTAGAAGACGAAGCAGGTCATTTTGGCTGTATGGCTGCAATTCAGCCGTTTCTGGCATCCTTATCTCGCACGTTAAAAGGTACGGTGCGCGACTATATATAGATGTTAAAAATATGGCGTGGGGAGCGTACATAGTTTGGTCCGCGACGAACAACCCTGTACCGGTTTCGCG